AAAAGATTTAATATTACACAGAATAACAATCATGTCATTGTTTGAGAGCAATTAAAAATGACTTCTGACATAAATGTTTTTTTGTGCTCAAAAAAGCAAAACCAAGCCAAACCACATTTGAACATACTTTATAAAATCAAGTGCATATTATTACCCTGAACTGCAGGAGAAAAAGACAATTGATTAACAGTGTCAATTCAAGGAATCCTCCTAATATTTCTCAGCAATTGTGTTCCCACTGGAGAGAGTTTGGCCTGAAGGCAGAGTGAGAGAATAGGTCAGGGACATGCTCAGGGCCACAAGGGTCCTTCTGAGGTCCCGGTGGAGCAGTTGTACTGAGAAAAGCATGAAGCTTACAGTCCCTTCAGATTTAACAGGGAGGTGCTTCACATAAGCTCTACTATAAAGGAGACAGATGAAACACAGAAGAAGTCCCTTAGTCCTTTGCATGTGATGTTAGACATGTTTTGTAGTCGCTAACAATACAAAATATTTTATTGATGAATAGTTCTGACTAAATTCTGAGTGTAAATCTGTGTAAATTCATGTTAAATGCGCTATTCCAAAAAAGCACCGAAGGGAGTGGAAAGTTCTGCGCGTGATCTAATGACGACGTGCAAATGAAAGAACACAGACAGAGCCGGATCATTTCCATAATGACCAAAGCAATCTACCAAGAGCAGCGTAAATTAGCATCTGGTTTAAGACATGCTTTTTTGGGCACTAAATTGACGAGCACAAACCTCAGTAAATCGCCTTGCATGATTCTCTCCTCCCATAAATTTTACGTCTGAAAAGGGAAACTCCTACAAATGCATATGCAATAAGGTCAGCCGCAAAAATAACAATCTCAGCATGTAAATTTTTACTGCGTGTTTTTAGTAAATCCTGAGAGTTGTTTTTTAAACGCCAAAAGGGGGTAAAATAGTATATTAGTATTAGTAGTTAGTACATATGGCTTAAAGTGTGGTGTTGCCACAACCTACCAACAGGAGTGTGTGTAACATTAACATTAACAGAAAAAAAGATATTTAAATGTTTACTTTTGTACTTCAGATTTGTGTTTCCTTTGATTGGGGAAGGGTGGTAGACATGTATGACAGTGATTTCCCTCCTGTAACTGTTCTGTGTTCAGACTGATGTTACCGCATGGTCTCCCCTATTAATGCACCAAGTTACAATGTGGTTTGTCAACCATAAAGCTTAACTGAATGTGATTTGTTTTGCTAAAATATGTTAATTTAATTCATATAACAGAAGCTAGCAAATTCATTTTCAAGTTGGACATTGTTGCTACAATTGCAAACAACACGCACATGAAGTCTGTCCGTAGCCTATATATCTGTGCTGTAGAGACAGGGCGGGACTCATGTCTTGTACAGACCCTGATGGTGTCTGTGGACAGGTGTGTTCATGTGCACTTGTGTTTGTGCAGTGACTGCACTCCTGTGGGATTAGCTGATTTATTCTTAGATCACAAAATGTGACATGATCCACAAACTGGCTTTAAGCTTGAGGCTAGCAAAAGTGCTAGTGCTTTTTATTGCATGTTTAATTATTTGACACTTAAGCTGTGTCTGAAACCGCTCACTCGTTCACTCATTCACTAATCCCTATATAGTGTATGGCATTTGAGTTCACTATATCTGCAAGGAGTGAACGAGATGAAGTGAGTGAATTCGGACGCTGACGTTTACACTGTGCGTCGGAGAGTTGGAGCTGTCGCAGAAAAGGCTTCACGCGTTCTGATAAAACTCCTTTTATCTTACATTACAAAATAATATTAACAACAATAACAATCATAATGACTTTATTTTGTAATTATACCTCCGTGCCAGCTTTGTAGTTTCATCGACTGAAATTGTACATCAACTCTCACGTTCACAGATGACGTGTCGTCGAGCGCCCTCCGGCGACCGTTATTATGTTCAAAACGACGATTAACGGATATTTTTCAAATCCTCCACTGGATGTAATGTAATCTCTGGTTTAAACTTGCTCGCGCCGAACTTTCATGCGCGCTCAGTTCTCTCCGCATTGGATTGTAGGAAATAGCCCAGACAGCAAACTGACATTGAATCAACGTGGAAACGACGTCTCTCATGACATTGAAACAACGTTGATTTTGCTCATCGAATTAACGTTGAACCAACGTCAGACGCGGCATTCTTTAAAGCTAAATGAAAATCGAAAATTGGTTTGCTTTCATAACGTTGAAACAACGCGTTGATTTCTAGTTGATTTTCCGTTAGTTTTGAAAGAATGACTCGTCTGACGTTGGTTCAACGTTAATTGGATGAGCAAAACTATGTCAGATCAACGTTGTTTCAATGTCATATTTCCACGTTGATTCAATGTCAGTTTGCTATCTGGGAGGGCTTCAGCGAGTGTACATCGAATGTACACTCGAATTCAGAGAGGATTGTGGGTAAAAGTAGTGAATGAATGTAGGGAATGATGTCGTTCACTCAGAATTCGGACACCACTACAAAATGGCCGACACCCGATATAGTGCACTATATAGTGGATAGGGAGCGATTTCAGACACAGCTTCAGTAAACTAGCAGCTCCAGACTGATCTTGAATTATTTCATGGAAACTAATATGTTTAAATCTTAATTACAGTGTTGTAGTACTCTAGACTCGGACTCGTCTCGGACTCGGTCTCGAGACCATATTTTAATGGTCTTGGTCTTGTCATGGACTCGTGTGCATTTGGACTCGGAATTGACTCGTACTCGAACATTTTTTTTTTTTAGGACTCGGACTTATTCCCGAGTCCACTCGAGTTCAATTCAAAATATTTTTCATGATTATTAATGTATGTTAATAAACTATTTCTTTAAATTGATTGACACGCCAGTGATTGTTGATTTTCTAGTGCGCAACTGCGCATGACAAATTGTAATAAAATTACTTTTAACACCACCTACTATGTGGCCTTTTTACCCTAAACTGATCATATTTTTTAAACTCTAAGTAAATTCAGTAAAAAAAAAAAAATAAAAGTAAATTAGGTAATCAACCCTCACTGGTCTCGGTCTCGACTCGGACTCGACCGTCTCTGGTCTCGGACTCGACTCGGACTCGACTCTCTATGGACTCGGTCTTGACTCGGACTCGACTCTCTCTGGTCTCGGTCTCGACTCGGACTCGAGTGAGGTGGTCTCGACTACAACACTGCTTAATTAAACAATTTAATAATCAATAAAATAGGAATCCATACTGCCCTACAAAGGCAAAAGGCAGTAACTGACCAGAGTGTCAAACTGAGAAAAATGACTTTAAAGTTTTTTGTTTTGTCCACACAAATGTATTATAGGTAGAGCAATGAAAATCTGGTGACTTGTTGCCCAGATCAAGAAATGTGTGTATATAAAAAATCTTGTGCTCAAAGTTGACTTTTGACCCTTATTTGTCAGATACTGTACTCTGCCTTTGTATTATTTACTAAAAAATAAGGAGTCGTGCAAAGGCAAAAGGCAGTAACTGACATATAATCAATTTGCTTACCACCATTTAGAAGATAATTAACTGATCACCTTCATTAAAGTCTAATGGGAAGGGAATCGACCAAACAAAAAGTTGTATGTGTACGTGGATAATATTTTGCAACAAATACACTTTATGCTGTTTCACTAACGCTAAATGACGCTTAATTACAGAAGACGCTTTGAAACTAGCCTAGATAACTTGTGGATAGCTTGGTCTGAATACCAGCAAGGGACACGGACTATGTTCAAAACCTTTGAGGATTGTGGAAACATCGTAGATGACGTGTATTGCAATGGATTTTATGGAGTTACAAGAAAAGGTAGGAAATGATTGTTTACTGCCGCTGTGCAGTAATGTGTAGCATGATAGCTAGGCTGGGGCTAACATGTCAACATTGAATAGGCTACATTCCTGCAATGTCTGCATCTCTGGATTGTCGGCACAGAATGGATTGCTGAGTGATTTTTAATTATTTAAGAATTAGATGTCATGCTGTCTAGGTATCTATTGATGTTTTGGTTGGTGTTGGTGTGCTGGCTAATAAGTAGACTAGTTAGCTTCTTCGTCAGTTGCTTGTCCTAGCAATTCAAAATTAACGTTAAGTATATGGCACTTTCATACTTCATCTAATGCATTATTTTATAAGATAATTTATTACCTTGGTCTTCATGTCTTCTTTTCAACGCCAACTCCACCATCATTCTCCCTCGAGAGCAATTTGCCATTCTTACAGTAGTTCAACACTTGATAAAACAACCACTCTACACATTTGACAGCTCGTTTTTTATTTGGATATTTGTGTGTTATAGAAGTAAGTTATTTAGTGACAATACATGGACAGTAACTGAAGCGCGGCAAATTTTTATGGACAGTAAAACAAAGGCAGATCATCGTAACTGCAAGGTGGCACCGTAACATCTCTTTTATGAATGGCTTAACAAAGGCAGAGTACGTAACTGGACTTTTGCGTCGAAGATCAAAGCCAAAGAAGGGTAACTGCAGTTACCGCTTTCTGCCATGGTTGCTTGTATGGTTTTGGGAGTTACTGTGAACACAACCCTCTATTTTTTCGAAAAAAACAGTCAAATTGAGTATAGATATTTATCCACATGATAAAGGAGGTCTTTAATATCCCAAAAATGACATTAACTCATTTTTGACCAAAAATGCAGTTACTGCCTTTTGGCTTTGTAGGGCAGCATACCTGTATGATAATGCGTTGTAGCCACATTGGTCCAGAGGTTTGGAAAATGGATGAATGTGTAGATGACATCTTCTGGCAACACGCAGGAATTCGTTTGGCATGACTGCCACAGTGCATTATGGGTATGCTCTAGCCATTGAGTGCACATTGGTTGTACACTCATTATTAAACGAGTGCAGTCGGAAATGTCCTCTATGCTTTCGGACACCACTACAAATGGCTATCCTCTCAAATAGTGCGCTATTTAACACATTATGTTTTTCTGTTCATTCTAGAATTTCATTTCAGATCCTCGGAAGTCATGGAGGGTCGACTGCGTCATGACACAAGATTCAGCTACATCTTCAGAAGCAACCCGTCCGCCTCTAACCTGACAACCGATTCAGTCAATGCGACGCATGCCTTCAATGTGTTTGATGGGTGTGAAGACATGATGGCTGGTTACAATTTTGATCTAGCTATACAGTCCATCAACGTGATCGTAGGAATACCTGCCAACATCCTGGTCTTAGCAACCCTGATAAACACGCGGAATGAGCCTTCAACTTCTGACATCTTCCTGGGCTGCCTGGCTTTCATGGACGCCTACTTTGGATTTATGACTATCATAGCGTTCCTCAATCTCTACTACTGGAAAAGTGCTATGGGTTGGAGGGCTTTGAAATTCTCTTATGGCGTTAAAGACACCACCGGGCCGCTCTTCCTCTCGTGTGTCTGTCTGGATCGATTTATAGCCGTTCTCTTCCCCATCGCATTCGGACAGTTGAAGGACATCAAATACAGGATCGGCCTGAGCATTGTGGTTCTGCTGCTCACTTTTGCTTATGCTTCGGCCAAAGCTGTTGGTGGTCTGCCCAACTTTGAAAAGGTTTTCACTTTTGAGGTCTTGTTTGCTTTTACCTGGATGGTGGTGTGTAACGTGACCATCCTCTGGGCCCTGAAACGCTCACGAGGCTCTGGTAAAGATGAGATGCATCCGATGAAAAGAAAGGCGTTTAAGATGGTGCTGTCTATCTTGATCATCATCGTGAGCAACTATCTCCCTCCACTTGCTCTGTTCCCCTTTGAAGACCATTATCCACACAAGATCTTCACTTGCTATGTACAGCCAGTGGGTTATGCCTTCGTAAACAGCAGCAGCACTATCCAGCCCTTAACTTATTTGTCCCGCCTGGAGAAAGTACCATTCTTGCCTGATTCTTGGGTAAAGAAGTTAAGCTGCAAGGAACAAGACAAGCCCTTAAAGGAATGCTAGGGTCTGAAATCAATGTAGTATACTACTGATATACTGGCATTGATCATAAAGTGTAAATTTGTGGCTTTATTTTCATAGTTCTTTCGTTTTCAAAATATCTTTGTAAAGAAGTAAACTTGTTGGAAATTCAAATACTTATTTTATTAGATCTTTCTAAGCTCTGGATGATCTTTCTAGTTGTAAATGTAATATATACTTTGTTTGAAGTGTTAAAGCATAAATGTATCTGTTGTAAATCCTGAGACACACCTAAATGAAACGTGCAAAGATTAATTTAAAGAGTTGTGGCGCCACCGTGTGTTACAGACAAGAAAATAAGGCAAAACCAGAAGTTGCTTGTAATAGTTCTCTGAAATAAATCTATTTATTAAATCTACTATCAAACATTTATTTGCTGTCCTTAATTTAAACTACTGTGATCCCATGAGGTAACTGTGACACTTGAGACAACCAATAGCTATATTTTCTGTGTCTCGGTTGTGTGTCAGTTGAAGCGCTTTCGGCTGATAGTTTAAACTGGGTGGAAAGTCAGTTTACAGTGGAAGAATGAAAGGTTGTTAACAGACAAGGTTTCTTCCTACATTATCCAGCTGGAAGAAGACAATAGCAGTCAGAAGGAAGAGAGAATGGCATTGCTGACTAAACCCACCACCACCACCCCACTCCACCCACTGAGCTTTTGCTTAATTCAGTTGTTCTTTTCCTTATGGAGATGCATCATAAATAGCATTTTTTGCAAGTAAGTGTTTGAATAATGAATAATACCATTTTATTATCATTTTATCAAATTAATTCATGCTTAATTTTATGTAATGTCTCTTAATCTTTAGACATGATCCGAGTTCAGTCAAATCGCTTCAACCCCACTGATCGAGGTGTTTATGCTGGTTTACAAGCAAACTGGTCTTCCAGAGAGAATTGGTCTGCTCATGGAGGCTACTGGATGAATCGAGGTTTAATGGGCATCATTGACCAGGTTTGTGATCTACTATTCGTGGTTTTTGATGATCTTTCCTGAATTTCTTTTACAGAATGACTTAAAGGGTTAGTGTTGGTGCCAGGTATTGATTGATGACTTAAATTTTGAATTTTTTCACTTCCATTTTGTCTTATTGTACCATCATCATTCAACGTTTTGCTGTTCTTCTCAATTTTACAAAAAAAAAACAACAAAAAAAACCCCACATGAATTTGTGGTTGAAACGCGTAATCTTTTATTCCCTCTTCTCGGCCTTGGATACTGGCTGCCACTATAGTTAGTTCACACGAAACTGAAAATGATCAATAATTTACTCACCCTCAAGCCGTCCTAGGTGGCTCCATAGGGTTAATAAAGACCTTCTGAAGCAAAGCGATGCATTTTTGTAAAAACAAAAATATCCATATTATAACTTTGTAAACTCTAAGGATTAATGGCGCTATCATTGATCAGGTTTGCGATCTACTATATGTGTCCGTCAGGAAGCGAATAGGAATAGCGCCAATTACGGAGAAGATGCTCGAGGCCCGTCTCCGTTGGTACGGCCATATAACACGCAGCCATGAGAACTCAGTGGCGAAGACGGCTATGCACCTTGACCCACCCGGTAATCGGCCACGTGGCCGCCCAAAGATGAGATGGATGGACCGGATCAAGCAAGATATGAAGGACGTGCAAGTCGCCCCGGAGGACACTTCGGACCGGAATAAATGGAGAGCAGCCTGCCAAAAAGCGGACCCTGCACCTGCGCGGGACAAACGCTAGGACGAAGAAGAAACTCTAATCACTGGGTTCTGTTAACGGCCATACGCAAGTCTAGTTCCGGTGGAAGATATGACCTATGACCTGACGCATGATGTATTGACGAATGTGGAAGCGCAAAAGATAGAGTAAGACAAAACACTGGTCATGAATTAGAAGCCTAAAACAAGAATTTTATAAAGAGAAATCGGAGGAGGAGCTTAAGTTTGTTGCCCAGCCCTATTTGTTTGAACCGTGAGCTTACGCTAGTAAGCTTACGCTACTCCCACATCCTACATCATATCTCGGGTATACTGTATAGACCTAGGTTGGCTTGAGGGAGAGTAAATTATGGGATAATTTTTATTTTTGGATGAAATAGTGACCTAACTCTCAAAACGTGGTGTGGTGGGAGATGACTTGAAGGCTCTTAATAAATAGGCATATAACTACCTCTGAGAGCACAGTTGAATTACTTTATTGAAATCAAATATGGGACCATTGTCATGGTTTCTAAGTTCCACGTTATGTTCTACAATGTGTACAAGAAAGACGTTCTGGTGTAATGAACGTAGGCCAGAAATGCTACGTTCACACCGAACACGAATAGCGCGTCAAATTTGCGCCTGAAGGCCAATTTATACTTCTGCGTCGAGGGTACGCCGTAGTGTACGGCGTTGGCTACGCACGTAGGCGACGCCGTTGTGAACATTTATACTTCTGCGTTCAGGTCTTGGTTGCTCTGCAGTACTGCTCCGAAACGATAGTTGGCGGCAGAGGGTTTTAATGTTCCACTGTGTTTAGATTCCTCACGGCTAGGTTACTACAAGCAATATCGACTGAAAGAGAGCTGATCATGTTGGAGTTGGAGCTTATTGAGGTGGAAAAACAGTTAATTTTAGTGAAATTACAAAAACTGAAAGGCAGAAATGAGAGAAGACATCAGAGGAGATGGTACGTGTGGAAATGCGTGAGGTACGTGCAGAAGGAGGAAATGCGATGCTACCAAGCCGACCAATCACTGATCTTGCGGTCTGCGTCGTCGCAACGCGTAGTTACATTTTTGAAGAGGTGCGCGTCAGGCTACGGCGAAGGGTACGCGTCTGTGCGTATGCTATGGCATACCTACCGCGCGCACCCTACGCAGAAGTATAAATTGGCCTTAACGCGTCTAGTTTGACGCTTGACCACTTTGTGTTAATTCGCGTGTCGAGCGAAACTGGCGCGCGTAAAAACAAGAGTTTAAAGCGAAATTTACGTGTGTCAGAATCGAAATCCGTTGGCGGCCATTGTTTTTATGTTGACCGAGCATTCATCAAGAGAGTTACCGCTCTGTATTTACTCTGGAGAGCAGAACAGCGGCGTGGGGATCATCGTCGCCGTATATTTGTGTCCACCGGACCCTTCGGAGCCGAACCATTTGGCGAGTTTCACCATTTGCTCGCTCCAGGAGCTGCGCTGGATGACGGCCGCTGTCAGCGGTACTTCCGCCTGTCACGCGCCCAGTTTGATGACCTGTTGTCCTGCATCGGAGCGAGGATCACCCTCGCCCTCATCCATCTAATCTAGCTGTCATTTATTTTTGTTTTGATGATAAATAGAGCCAGCCTTCAAAAGTTATTAACCTGTCCTGTGATTATTTTCTCTCTCACGTCCAGATACGAACTTATGCACATGTATGTTGATTGTCTTTACATCATACTATTTCATATAATCTAGATATGGAATGAACAACATTCAATACAAAATGAACATGTCTCGTATATAGAAATAATGTTTTAAGTGATAAAATATTTGCTTTGTTGTGCATAATCCCACCATGCATTTAGTCATATTAACAAAATAATTTATTGAAGCATCCAGACACCTCAACACGTGAGCAAGCAGCTAGGCTCCTGATTGGTTAACGCATTGCGAATTCATGCCAAAGTTCAGATTTTTCAACTCGGGCGGCAGACGCGAATTCGCGTCAATCGCGTGAATGCACAAATGGCACTAACTAAACCATTCGCCCGTAACGTTCCAGACGCTCAATTCGCTTCATTCGCGCGAACGAGGAGTATTCGCATCTTCCACGCCTCATTCGCGCTGCAGGAATTTTTTACGCGCATAACGCGTCTTTGCATTGACTTAACATTGAAATAATTCGCGCCTGACACACTATTCCCATAAGAGCTGTTCATGTAAACCTCACTCCCCTGGCCTCAAGAGGTGTGCTAGCGTCTGGCTGGATGCTGTGATCTTTAGTGTCCTTGTTAGAGTGCCCTCCTCCCACACCGGAGACTCTAGTTCGAATCCCGCTCAGAGCAAGTCGAGTATGACTGGCTATAATTGGTGCTGTGACCTGGGTGGGAGTGAAGTTTAGGGGGTTGAGTGTAACGGACGTAGGCCAGTAAGAGCTGTGCGTGTAAACTTCACCCCCTGTCCTTAAGAGGCACATTAGAGGCTCCAGTCTTTAGCGTCCATGTTAGCGCACCCAACTCCCACGCCAGATACCCCGGTTCAAATGCTGCTCTGAGCTGGGTGAGTAGGACTCGTAACACTAGTTCTGTTTGAAGTTAAAGGGGTCATGAACTGGCTTTTTAAATTTTATTATATTGTTGTCTGTGGTCAACTTATGACGTTCGCTTGGTTTTTACATTCAGAAACATCTAAATGAATAAGTAATAGGCTATTTTCTTACCCTAGTTTTGAGCCTAGCTCAAAAACGCTCGGTTTTTATGGGCGTCTTGGATTGAAGACTTGAAAGTAAACACCCGCTGCTGTGAGTGGATAACAGTTTTGCATATTATAATGAGTTTCAACTCACCCGTCGGTGCACGTGGGGGAAATTGTTTTGAAAGCGTCCAATGTTGTAAAATGCCAACCGGAATGATTCGCCCATGCATGTTCGACCCAGAGTCCGTGTGTTGCACCATTCCTGTCGGATCCAATATAGAAGGCACATCACCATTTTTTAATCTTAATCGGTCTGCAAATCCAGTCTTGTTTACAAAACAATCCTCAGTGAAATGAAGCGAACAGACGGACAATGTTTTACCCTCATCAGCTGGAACGTCATTAAAAGTAAAGTTTAAGCAGTCCTATTGGAATCCAAAGGAAGCTTATGCAGCGACTGTCTTCTTCCACAACCAGGCACTGCACAATATTTTGTAAACGGCATGTTTATTGCAACAACAAGACCGACTTTCTTCTGGATCCTCAGCCACAATCTGCCGGCCCCAGGACCACTCCTTTTTTGCCTGACAATGAATCCGAGCCCCAGGTTTCTTCGTGCAGC